TTCTTATACCAGAGAAATAATGCAGTACTTGCATGTGTGTGTCTGATTTACTTCATTTAAGAATATGATCTCAAGGTCCATCCAGATAGCTGTAAATGTCTCAAGGTTATCCTTCTTTATGGCAGAGTAGTACTCCATTGTATAAAAAACATCTTCTTTATCCATCCATCTGTTGATGGGCATTTGGGCTGTTTCCAAGATTTAGTTATTACAAACTGCTGCTATAAACATAAGTGTGCACATAGCACTATGGTATGATGCTTTTAATTCTTTTGGGAGATACCAAGAATGGAAATATCTGGGACAGGTAATACAGAATAAACACTCAAAAAATCAACAGTCTTCCTGTATATAAATAACAGACTCACTGAGAGAGAAATTAAGGGAACAATGCCTTCCACAAAAGCACCCAAAAGAAATACCTAGGAATCCATCTAATGTAGTAAAACACCTCTACATTGTAAACAGTACTTTGAAAAAGGAATTCAAAAGGTATCAGAATGAAAAGATACCCTGTTCTTCAGAAAAACCAATATAGTAGAAATGACCATGCTTCCAAAATTGTTATACACATTTAATGGAATCCTGATCAAAATTCCAACAGCATATCTCACAGAATTAGCAAAAACAATCCTAAAACTCATTTGGAACTAGAAGAGACCTAGAATAGGTAATTTCGGGCAACAGAGGCAAGGTGGGGGCATCATAATCCCTGGCTTTAAATTATACTACAAAACTGCTGTGCTACAAAGAACATGGCACTGGCAAAAAGCAGATCTGAGGATCAACAGATGAGAAGATACAGAAAGAGCTCCAGACATACCACATCTTATAAATCTGCTCATGAAAGAGGAGACTAGAGCTGCTTCACACAGTGGCCAGAAACATGAAATAAATGTGCTTGAAACCAGGAGTCATTTTTTTTAATGGTGAAAAACATGTGACTTAGCATTAGCCTGCTGGACTCCCTTTACATGATGCCAGTTTTGCTGACAACATCGGAAGCACTGTCACCAGGAGCCAGCAGGACACGCGCTGCCTCCTCTGTGTCGGGCCTGATTCCACATTGCAGCTCCTCCAGTGCTCCAGCCGTGCCAGTGCCGTGACACCCACAGGGAGCTCCCTGGTGCCGCTGTCCTCCGTCTTCTCCTGCTGCAGTGGTCAGGGAGCGTGGTGAGGGCCGAGTGGTCTCCCAAGGCACGGGACCGCCCCTGAGCCACAGTGTCTGGTGAAGCTTTTTGTGCGTGTGACTATGGATGTCTCTCATCATGGCCTCTTGATCTTCAAAGCTTTGGCTTTGGCTTCTGCTTCCTTGCTGGTCTTTAGTGCCACCTTAATAAAAAGGAAGGGGTCTTTTTTTAAAAGGGGAATGAATAGCAATGTACCTGTTACTGTAAGAAACTTGGCACATAAACATTCACCGTATTTTCCCACCACCCATTGCGTTAGATCCATGTATCTAAAAAGGTATTCTATCAGGAGATGCTGACGCAGTGACAGAGGCCAGCCAGTCTCGAGATCGCCAAGGTGGCACTTAGGCTACCTGCATAGGAGAATGGAGCGTGCCTTTCCAGGCTGAGGCCGGAGGGCAGAGAGCAGGAGAGCTTACGATGCAGTTCCAGGCCACAGGAAGAGGCTCGAGGTCGAGGAAGAACAGTTTCTATCGAGAGAAGAAAGTTTGAATCCCGGTTTGAAAGCAGTCCTGCAGGAAGGATTCTCTGCGGGCAGCAGGCCTTTTTGTTTTTTCCCGGCCCACTCACTTTAGGGAAGTCAGTCTGATACTCAGTCCATTGATTTCAGTGTGGCTCTCATCCAAAAATATCTTTATAGAAACACCCAGAATAATATTTGGGTAATCAGCTAAGTACCTGGTGGCCACTCCAGCTGACATGTGTGGTTCCCTTCACACTGCACACACAGAGATGATCAGCAAGCACCCAGTGCTGTCACCCACGTTTAAGGAGTCTATCAGTGTTTACAGTGATGTATAAAAGTTATTCACATTTAGAATTCATGAGCCAAGCATGAGGTCATGAGTTCAATAACCAGTACCCCTCCAAAAAGAAATAAAATAAAATTAGAATTCATTTAGCATCCTAAGAAGTAAATATAATAAAAAATGTTAAAGCACTGGCCATATCTAAAAGAATCTGAAACTGTGGCACACACTTATAATTCCAGCACTCAGGAGGTTGAGGTAGGAGGATTGCTGTGATTTTGAGGCCAGGCAGGACTACATAGTGAGACCATGCCTAAAAAAAAAAAAAAAATCTGTAACTGACACAATTACTTTTTTATACTAACACTGTAGAAGTGTGAGGCTACTTGAAAAGGTGTCTGCAGAAGGCTCTTTAAAATGAAACCTCGAATGAAGCGTGGTACAAAGGTCTTGAACTTCATGTATGTTTAATTATGTTCATCAGACATGTATTAGTTATCTACTACATTGAAGTTCTATGTGAATTGCTTAGCAGGATACTAAAATCTGTTACCAAAAAAAAAAAAAAAAGGCTCTTGAAGAAGACAAAGGATTTCTATAATTCAGAAAGTAATTCCAAGGCAGCATTAGTTAACTGCTTTATTAGAGATACAAATGGAGTACAGCTGTTAACTAAGTGAGACCGATCTTTTGAAAGGGTTTATAGCACCCGGCGTACGTGTACATGGTGGTGGAACACATCATCTCTGGCCTTTCAGATATGGGTACAACTTCCATTGACAAAGATAAAAAAAAAAACCAAAAAACATTTTTGGTTTAAAAAAAAAACTTAACAGATGAGAAAGAGAAGCGTGTATTTTTCCCACATGGACTTATCTAGTGATGCTGAGGTGTTACGGCATAAGGAAAGGCACAGAGACAGAGATAAACCCTAGAAATCTGCATGTCAAATAGAGGTGAAGGCAGGTCATTGTGAGCCTTGAAAAGATGATTATTAAAAATGTGGCTTTTTGCAGATTGGAACTCATGAAAATATTTTAAAGCAGATTCACTTTTTTAATCTTTAGTTCAGGTAGCAACATAAAGATTAAGTTAATGTGCTATGAGATTTAGAATGCTACCAGCTTTTAATCACTTATCATCCAAATATTCTAAAGAAGAGTTAGAGAGAGTTCATAGAATTAAAAAATAGGGGCTGGGGATTTAGCTCAGCGGCATAAGTATGAGTTCGATCCCTGGTACCGATAAAACAACAACAAAACAGAATTAAAAAATAAAGGTGACAGCCAGGTACAGTAGCACACTCCTGTAATCCCAACACTTGGGGCCAGAAGTGGAGGATTGCTGTGAATTTGAAGCCAGTGTGGCTACAGAGTGAGTTCAAGTTCAGTTTGTCTGCATAGGGAGACCCTGCCTTAAAAAGACAGACAGACAGACAAACAGACAGAGGGAGAGAGAGGAGGGAGGGGAGGGAGAGAGAAGTACGAAGCAGAGTGAAATAAAGGCAAGAAAATAAGACAAGAGATATGGTTGGTGCAAAAATGTATGCATTAAGAATTCGGTATTGATAAAGATAGGTTTAAAGTTTAGCTCTGAATGTCTTACCAGGAGGAAAAAGAAAGGGTGATTATTTTAAAAAGAAAAAATGAATGTCTCATTCTCAGCTGGTAATTTTGCTTCTTGTGTCTTAGGGAAAAAAATTTTTAAAAGTACAAGAATCTGGCAAGAGATTTTTCCCAGCATTCCTTCTCCTGCTGGCCCACAGGAATTCCTCCCCTTTGTCTCCTTGCTCCTGTAAGGCCAGCCCTTCCCTTGTACATGACCTTCTAACTCCACCTCCTCCTTAACAGCAGCTGCACTCTCCTCTGCATGACCAGTTGGGTCATTCCTCTTGGCATTCACACAGTTTCCCCAGTCTTTAAGAAGCAAACAGGGGGCTGGGGATTTAGCTCAGGTACCGATAAAAAAGAAAAAGACCAAAAAAAAAAAAAAAAAAAAAACCCAGCACCAAAGAAAGCTTTGCCCCTGTGTCCTTGTCCTTGTCCAACCCTAAATTTTGTAGTGAGAAAAATGTTAATGAAACTGCAATTAGATTTTTTGCTTTCACATTTTTACTGGCACAAATCTGCTTCTTATTGCTGGTTGAAATGCAAAATAATGAAACTTCAGTGTAGCAGGATGTGACAAAATATCACAACCACAGGTGATTAGTCTGTTCCTCCATAATTTCAGAATCCCTCCAAGAGAAATATTTGCATGTACAAAATGACAAGTTAAGACTATTGAAGCATTCGTTACAATTGCAAGTGTTTGGAAAAATCTTAGTTGCCTTTTAAAGTAAAAGATTTGTTAAGTAATGTTACATCTCACAGCAAACCTCTTTGCAACAGTAAAAAAGGATAGCTCTGTAACCATTCGTGTCCCGGGTGATGATAAAAATACAAGGCGCTGAGTAACTTTTAAAGTTCCTGAGATTTTGTAAAAGAAGAGAGAAGAGACCATCCATATTTGGTTGAATATGCATGAAAAAGCTTTGACTTTTTAATTTTTATGAGTACGTTTATAATAAAGGTGAGTACATTCATCGTAGGAGTTAGTACAGGTGCATAGCACATCTTAATTTTTATATGTCCTTTTCTCCTCTCCCCCTCCCTGCATCTCTTGGTTCGTGTCTCATTTGCAAAAGATCTAGTCCTGAATAAAAGCTACTAAAGTGATTATTCATAAATAATGGGCTCAGAATTGGAAAAGATCTAATAATTTCCAGGCCAGGCATGGTGGTACATGCTTGTAATCCTAGCACTCAGGAGGCTGAGGCAGCAGGATCATTGTGAGTTCAAGGGCAGCCTGGGCTACATAGTAAGTTTAAGGCCACCCTGAACTACACAGCAAGTCCTTGTCTCAAAAAATAAATAAAATAATTTCCAGTCTTATTTTCTGTTTACTCTCATATACAAATGATGTTTCTCAAACTATATTCAGATATTCTTTGAAATAGAGTATAATTCTTCTGAACTTTCTTATTTTACCATAAAATGATTGTTTAAAAATTTATTTCTAGATCCATATTTATTCTCTTGGAATGACATTATTTTGGGGGGCTGATCATGAAGTACCTCAGAGCCAAGTAAGTTAAGTTTTCATATTTGTTATACTTTTCACATTTGTACAGTTTCACAGTTTTTAAAAATTCCTTAGTGTATATTACAGGTGCATTAGCAGGTATATCAGCGTTCTTATGGTGGGTTAGCCTGGAACTTACAACAGTGCTCGTGCCTCAGCCTCCTGAGTGCTGGGATTACAGGCGTGTAATCACCCAGCTATCCCGTTTTTATGCTTGTTCATGTCAGTAATGTCACCCATTCAGAATGAACTAACAATATAAAAGCTAATGAAATTATTTTCAGGGTATCCTAAGAATTACAGCAGACACCACCAGGTTTTAGTAATTCAGTCTATGAAAGAGCTGCTTCTTCAAAAATTACAGCCACAAAAATGGGACTCTTTTATTTCTTCAATATTAATGACTGTTAAGGATTGTGAATGTTTTTGATGATCAGTTGTTTCAGGAAAGTAAAACCCTTTTGATCCCAAAATTATGATGATAGTAGTCCTTATTCTACCGCTGGCATTTAGTATGAGAATATTGCAGCTGTCCTCTCTTGGCGATTCAGAGTTGTATTTTCCTACCCCTGCAACAGCCGGTGCAGATATTCATACCATCTCAGGTCTTGGAGTCACACGTCCATTGAGCCACTTGTAGTCGTTACTTTCTAGAAATAGTTTTATCAAATCTAAGATATATAGCATTTAAAATTGGATTTTATTGTAAGTATTTAGAGGTCATACTGGGCATGGTACACACACCTGTAATCCCAGCACTCTGGAGGCTAAGACAACAGGATTACTGTGAGCTTGAGACCAGCCTAGGCTACAAAGTGGGGTCAGGGTCAGCCTGAACTATGCAGTGAAACCCTGTCTCAAAAAGACCAAAAAAAAAAAAAAAAAAAAAAGCCAAAACCAAAAATTTTTTTTTCTTACTAAATCAGAAGTAACAAGTATTTTAGGCTTATACTTGTAAACATTTTAAAACCCATTAAAGATGATTCAGCTTCATGGAAAATGTAGTTAGTCTGTAGTTAGCATTTTTAGCTTTTCTGGTAACTATAAATAAAATCAGTATCAACAATACATAAATTAAGTAGGGGATAAAATTTATGCACTGACTAGAATTCATCGTTTTGGAAATATTTTATATTAACCTGAAAGTATTTCTTGTCTCAGACAGACAGTGGGCTGTACAATAAGATGCCAGTGGGCCACGTCCATGGCATCGATGGACTGGCCATAAGCAGCTGAGCTGTGGTGTGAATGCTGTGTTAGAGGAGATGCAAGGGCTGTGAAAACATGGGTGGGGCCTCTGATTAGCACTGCAGGACCCAGACAGGTCTCCTGAAGCCACTCCCTCCAGGCTGCAGTCAGAAAGATACAGTAACCGCTCACTGGATGAAGAGTGGACAGAGTCCTAGTCAGCAGCGCAGAGTTCCATGCACTCTGCTCTTTACGAATCCCTTGTTATTAGTCCTCTTATGCATTGGGATGAAGAGTGGCGTGTCTGTGTTTGGTGGGTGGGGTCAGCCTCTGCCCTGCTGCCCCTTCAGAGCCTTTGCAGCTTCAGCTTCAGCAGCTTCAGCTGCACTTGTCTTTGCCCGTCTTGGTGAGTAATGATGGTGACAGCCCTTTCTTACGGTGAATGGCCATTTGGATATAATATTCCAAAAATTACGTTAACTAGTAAAAACACCCGTGCATTATTGGTTTCTTTGTTTCCCCAGATAAGAATTTATATTTAAGTGATCTTGAGTCATCGTAATACCCTAAATCTCCCACCTTAGTGTGGAAATATCAAATTATATTTACATAGAACAAGGATATAATCTATCTTACTGGAGATAGTTTATTCCCTTGAATGACATATAGACAAAAACTGTTTTTCAAATTATTTGAATAATCATACCATCCTACTTCTTCAAGAAAACAAAGCAACACAGCTGTTTTCTATAATACTTTCTATCTGGGGAGACATATGGTAGCCACTCTGTTAATTTGTTGTGTTTCCTAAGATTGGCAGGCTGCTTCTGTCACATTAGAAAGAGTGCTGATACTGTACATGGCTTTTTCTTCGTGTTTCCAGCCCATTAAGCTTGGAGATCACCTCAGCAGCATCCTGCTGGGAATGTGTGAGGACGTCATTGATGCCCGGGTTTCTGTCCGGACTATCTTGGATGCCTGCAGTGCCCATGTCCGGAACAGTAACTGTGCGCCTTCATTTTCCTACGTGAAGCAGTTGGTAAAACTGGTTCTGGGAAACTTCTCTGGGGTAAGCTACAGTTCCAGTTCATAATACAGCTGTACTTAAAAATGCAATAGCATATCACAGGATTGTCTTTAAACATATTCTATAGACAGCATTTTTCAGTGAGAACTAGAATGAGATGTTGGATTTCTTATGCTAATGTTGTTTACTTGAAGCAGTACTTAATATTTAGAGGACTACTGCTGTTGCTTAGTGCACTACACTTGATAAGAGCCGGTCTTTTTTTAGTTCTTTGCTCCAGGAAATGTCGTAGGGTCATACCGCTCTTGAGCTACAGGTGTCTGTGTTTGGCTTCCTGGCTATTTTCCCAAAGACCTTGTGGAGTGGTTCTGCCCTTGCACACACCATTTCTTTACGCCTGCTTCTTAGCCACTCATTTGTCTGGATCCCACCTTTCCCATCTTTCTGGACACCAGCTCGGGGCGTGTGGGAAGCATCCATGCCGTGTCTGCCAGATGGCCGCGAGACTTGGCCTCCTCCGTTTCCTCCTGTCTTGGATGTGAAGAATCCCAAGAATAACAAACTGCATCTAACAGCACCACTTCTGCCCTGCCTCCCTCCAGCCGTCTCCCTGCCGCTTGCCTGGTTTGGACCCTCCCTTGGTTTTCCCTGCATGTAAACCTTACCTGCTCTTACCATGGTGGTTTCTTCTTTGGTGGGCTGTAAATTTGTTGCTATCACATGGTGTTTTTCTGGCTCCTGAATTCTCCTTCTTGAGAAGTTTAGTTCCCTCATTTTAGCTAGGATGTGGTATGGCTGCCAGGAATGTATCCGAGTTCCACACACTTGCAGCTGATAAGAAACACACTCGAGGTGGAGTCTCTGATCACTGAGTGTGAACTCTTAGTCTCCTCTTAGGCCATAGTGGTTTGTGGAGTGGGTACCAGAGGCCAGAGGCTGAGTGATTGCGATTCTTGGCTGCGCTTTGACCTAAAACTGCAGCAGCTCCTGTTGTGATTTGTTTTATTTTCACGTTTCTTTGTTTGAGCAAAGGTAAAGCTAGTAAGGATATGTGAAAGCCCTGTATCCAGCCCACTTCCCGCTTTATCACAAATGTATTTCTGTTAAAGCTAGGGTAAAATAGGCTTGAGAAAAAAACCACTTAAAGAAAATTAAATGTATTTTCACTGCAGAAATTCTCAGTGCCTTTAATACACTATAGTATGAATCTTCAAGAGGAATGAGCACACCAACCGAACTTTTCTCAAACTTATTTAATCCCAGAGGTCTTCTTTACAGATGAGAAAACTGAGTTCCAAATAGCTTTTAGGATTTAATTTTCTTATTTGTGAGTCCCGGGGCCTTTTTGTTGCACCACATCTTCTGCAAAACATTTGTGTTCTTTGCTGATTTTATTTCTGTAGTAAAGTGCTAGAAATATTTTTTTCTGCCTTTTCATGAAGGAATAGTCCTCCATAGGAATTTTATTACCTCACCTATAATAATTACCTATATTACATAAAAGTTTTGCATCCCTTTAAGAGTTGACATTTATTTCAGTTTATTGTAATAGTTACTGTTTAGCTATATGTGAAACCTATACTAGAGGAGATAAGTATTTGGATAAAATACTTGATCTTGGTGCTCTTAAGCTATAATTAATTTGCTTTATTATAAAATACAAGTAGGGCTATGAAAAACAATAGCAACATTTTAAAACATACAAGATTTATGGGGAAAGGATTTAAGTTAACACTGCATTTTAAAAATAGTTCTTTGAGGTAAATTGTAGGCTAAATAGAAAGTGTTGTCAGGAGAGAAGGGTCGCCTTGCGCACTGCTGTGAGGTGGGAGGACAGGTACGCTTAGGAGCATGGGGCGGGTGGGGCAGTAGCGGGAGAGGGAACTAGAGGACTCAGCTACAGTCAGCTTGTGGGAAACCTGCACTTACAAAGGACACTGGTGGGATGATTCCCCTGCTTCCTGCTCCCCTGGACCGAGGTAATTGCAGCAGGTGTGTGTGCTTTGTGTCAGGAACTATGTGACGTACGTGATGGTTTGTCACATTTCTCCACCATAACTCCACCCAAAAGAGATATTTTTATCTCATTTTAGTGATGATGAAACCAAAGCTCAGAGTGATTAAAAAGCTTGGCCATCGCCACATGTGTGGTAAATGACAGGCCAAACTGGAGCCCAGTGCTTCCAGCTGTCACTTTCCACTGCGGCTGCTGTTGTCCCTGGGCTGCTCATGGAATGAGTCTGGTGTTCACCACTGTGACATTCATTCTGAGCCACTGTGATGCTTGCTGAAGAGTGGTTAGCACAGAATTTAAAAAACAGTCAGCAGGCAGCTTACTCTGCTTGTGCTTAGGATGTTACGCTATTTTGACCTTAGTTTTGGTTTTCTATAACATAGGAATAACATACTGTCTGTCTAATGAAGATAATTATTTCAGTATTGATGAGCTATTTTAAGATCCTTAGAAACTTTTTTGCTGTTTCTAAATTTATGTATAATGTAGGGATAATACTACCTACTGCATGATGTTCTTTGGAGAGACGTATTACGTATTCTGGCTTTGCTTGTTTTGTGAAGCTCTAAGGCAGTGACTGGCCGAGTAACCATCCACATAACAATTATCATTAGGACGCGGCTCAGTGTAGGGCTCCCCAGTTACGCAGAACTTTCACTGTCTGTTCTGTCACTAACCTTATCATGTAATCCAGACCAACATTAATGCATTTTGAAGGATAGCACTATTGCAAAAATATTTCCACTCACATCTTCGTAGAGGTGGGAAACATGCTAGAATTTCACATACACCACTACAGAGGTTTTTAATTCATACTAAAACACATTTCAATTATGGAGGGCTTTTAAAATGTGTGTATGTAAATAAGTAAGCATGTAAGCGTGCTCTGATGCTGGATTTCAATAACTGGGCTTCACCATTTTCTCTTCCATTTTGTATCTTGATATTGTCCTCTGTTTGGTTGTCTGATTAAACTAATGTTCTAACTTTTCATTCTTCATAATACGGAGTTTGACCTAATTCGATGTGCTTTATTTTAAATAAATATCTTTGGCTAAAAGTTCTTGAATACTAAATACTAAAATACTTTAAATACTTGAATACTTTAAATACTAAAATATTTTGTTGGGGATTCAGAGACTATTGATTTAAATTCAATTGCTTTCTTTCAATGTGTCCATTTAGTTTAAAGACAACATTTCTCAAATGTTCTGGCAGGCAAGATCTAGAAAATTATTTTGAAAATAACCTAAATTAGTTTCCTCAATGCATTCCTATATTCAGAAAAAAGTTTCATCACACCAAAATTAATTTGATTTTAAAATTTTGTAATCTAATCACAGATACTTAGTTACCAGTTGGAAAAAAAAGGTCACTTCAGGTTTACTGTTTTCGAAAGGAACTCACTATACATACTACTGTTATCGGTCTAATTGTGTCCCTAGTTGCAGGTATTCTTTGGTAACTGTTTCTTAAGTTTTAATTGCCTGAAGATGAGTTGGCCAATCCTGGCTGTAAGTCTTATTCAAGGAATGCAAATTACAGTTAGTGTGGAGTCTCTTTGCAATAGTATTAAATACCCTCCACATATTGTCTTACTGGTGTCAGTCTGTAGATAATTACTGTGCAACAAAAGGGAGTTCTTTTGTCAAACTTGATTTTTGATTACCTATGTACAGACAGATCAGCTTGCCCGTAACAATGATCAAAAGCCTGATCGAAGCCAGGCTATTCGAGACCGATTGAGAGGAAAAGGATTACCAACAGGTAAGAGCATATTAATAGGAAATGTATAGATTTTAACTTTATTATTTCTTTTATGAAATTATACTTACCTGGCTTGGAAATCTATTAATTGTGACTATGATTAAATAGACTGTAGGATGCAAAATTGAGGCAAGGAACAAACAGAAACATTAGCTACATTAATAAATCCACCGCTGTTATGTAGAAAACATTAATATTATAAATTATTTTTCTTTCCAATATTATTTTTATCAATTAAAGCATCATTTATTGTTTTAGCATACATTTTAAAGTGACCAAATAAACATATATTTTTAATATATTGTTTCAGTAATCAGCATTGTTCTTACTGAGCTCACATTTTCTGTTCTAAGTCATTAATGATAATCACAATCCACTAAATTGATCTCATAACTAATTTCATGAATTGAAGTTATCAAATGCTGTTTTAATAAATAGAAATGAATAGTGAATAGTGGTTTTGTATTTGCTAATTGCATTTTATAATTATGGGTCCTGTAATAATTATTATAGACTTTTTAAAAAAGAAATAAAATGGCAACCCAAAATAACAAAAATAGGAGAAATGAATTTTTATAGATAGTTTATTTTTGGGGGCTGGGGATTTAGCTCAGCGGCATAAGTGCCTGCCTTACAAGCAGGCAGTCGTGAGTTCGATTCCCGGTACCAATAAAAAGGAAAAAGACAAAAAAAAAAGATAGTTTATTTTCAGTGTTAAATTTCAGGCTTAGCTTAATTTAAAAATGAAATTTTGATTTTGCTGATTGTCTTTGTTCTTTTTACTTCTCATTTGCAAAGCTAAAATCATGATAATTTAAATGTTAACAAAAGTATTTTGTGGGTGAAATATTTTATTTTGGAGCAAGGAAAAGTAAATTTAAAGAGAGCTTAAGTACATTCTATTAAAACACTGTAATGGATGTCATGTAATAAAACGTTGAAAAGCTAACATCTAACCTTTAATTTGATCAGTCACTACATAACTATCCTAAGATTTATGAGAAATATCTTTGTGAAAAAGTTGATTATCTGGACCTAGTGTTTTGCAGAATTCAGAACTCGTATCTTAGAGCAAAGAATATAATGTAAACAACTATGTTCATGAATTCAAAGAAAAGCAGTCAAAGTGTTTCTAAGGAGGTCTTTCTGTAACGGTACAGTTACTGCTGTTTTGGTGCTTCATGTTACTGTGAATAGGGATTTTTTTCTGTAAAGATATCTTAGCCTGGGGCTGGGGGTTTAGCTCAGCGGCATAAGCGCCTGCCTTGAAAGCAGGCAGTCGTGAGTTCGATCCCCGGTACCAATAAAAAGGAAAAAGACAAAAAAAAAAAAAAAAAAGATATCTTAGCCTTCACATAAAGATAAATTTGGTTTCTAGTTAGATCAAACTTCTTTCTAATGCATATATTATTTATATGTTGGTAAAAAAAAGTACAAGCTAGATCTCACCTACTTTGTATTTTGCAATGCTTGATGGCACTTAGAGTATTTAAAATCATTTTTGTGTTTCCTTTACCATCCCCCTATGTAAAGAGACACACTTTCTTAGAAATGCACATCCATTTTTTAGATTTTACCATTCTTGGATTAGAGGGTAGTATGTAATATGAAACTTGGTGCTATGAATAACAGTGGTTTGTTAATCCATTAAATTTTAAGTTATTCCCCCATTTTAAAACGAAAGAAGCTAACAGACTGTCCAAACAGACTGTGAAGGTGTCTGAAATGACTAAAAATTAGTAGGGCCTTAATAGATCATCCATTTATCTTATTCTCTAGTGGTGATTGCAGAGAATAAAATCTTCACTAGAAAATAAAGCTTTCAGGATTATAATTAGTCACTCAGGAGAAACAAAAGTTTATGTTTATTTTGTATTAGAATTACAAGTCCTTAATGCTTAAGTAATTGCCTTGTTTGAATTAAATGTAATAGAAAAAGATTCTTCAGCCCTTTGTAGCCATTACTTTCTATAATAGTAAAATAGTAAATTACCTTTTACAAATTTATAAAACCTTATTTCACAGGCAAAATCAGCATAAATATACCAATTGTAGTTATTAGTTGGTAGAAGCAATTAGCTGCTGATAGTCAATGGCATATACTATTTTAAAAAGTCTAAAATTGAAACAAAAATGATCTCTTGAAGAAGAACTCTTCAGGACAAGGTTGTTGCTTTTGGGCACTGCTGGTAACTCCCAGTGGTCACTTACAGTGAAGCAGTCTTGTCTTCCCACATGGAAGTCTTGTCTTCTCTTCAGTGGGCACCAGGCTAAAATGTTATGTGCTGTTGTCTTTAGTTTATTAGGGTCCTGACTACAGTGTTCAATAAAGAGTCAAGATGGGCAGTAAGATGTAAAAACTAGATTAAAAGAGGTAAGCAAATGGAGGGATGTCTTATAACTAGGAATTTAACTTGTCAATTTAGCAAGACTGCATCTCAAAATAAAACTGAGAAGGACTGGGGATGTAACTCACTGTGAAGACCTAGGGTCAATCCCCAGTATCACACACACACACACACACACACACACACACACACACACACACACAAATTAATTAACTAATTAATGAGTGTAGGAAAGATACTCTGTTTCACCAAAGAAGTGTTCTGTTACTGTTGTTTTTATTTTTCATTTGTTTCGGGGAGATTAAAGCATCACAATATACAGCAAAAAAGTCATCAACTAAAATGAAATGAAATTGTTCAACTACAGTAACTAACCTTCCAGTGCCTTCTTATGTCTTACTTTTGAACTCTGCCACTAAGCTAAGGCCTAGACAGGTGAGCTTCATTACTTGTCCCTGCCATTGTGGTAAAATGGCTTCAGTAAGAAGAATTTCCTGCCAGGCTTGCAGTGGAAACCTACACCATGGTCAGATCAGCATGATAGCACTTCAGAACTTTGGGTTTGGTGATAGCATCAAGTGTTTTTTAATGTACTAGAACACACTTATGAGGACAGATGGGGAGTTGAGGAGCCTCTTGTAATATTGAAATGTCTTGAAGTTAATTTGTAAGAGATGCTGTGAATCTTTAGGTCTCTGTGTGAGGGAGAGGTGAAGGATGATATCCAGATAGGGATAATGTTAATCAGTAGAGCAAAAATACTTGAAGCACAGTATACAAAGGAAGATATTTTCCAATTTAACTAAAGTAAATGTAATGTATTCTATTAATAAGACACTGTATTCTTAAAATCTTACTGTAGCTCTTCAGTGTATATTTATTGATTTCCATTTAGATTTCAGCAAGTTATGCTAAATTTGTTCTCCAAAAGGAAAATGTTTATGGCTTCATTTTAAATTTGAATGCTTATAATTTTATGTAATTTAATGTTATCTGTAAACTCACTGAACTCAGAGCCTCTCAAGAGAAGGGAAATCCACTTGTAGTCACCATTTTTCCTATTTTGAAAAATGTGATACTTTTAAAATAAGAATAAATCTAATCTATGAGAGATCTTCTGATGCCTGGTTTCCATTATTTCCCCTCCAAGGAAGTTTTTAAAATTCCCCTCAGTGGATAATTATGCTTGGGAAAACAAAGTAGATATAGAAAAGGGTGACAAAATTTTAAATTTTATGTTGCTATTCTTCAGAAGAGCTCAGAATAATTCATATGAATTAGTTCATTTATCCTGACATCTCTAAAAAGAAAACTTAATGAATTACATCCAAATTTTGTTGAGTGCCTTTTCCATACTGACGAATGACTAGAAAGCTTATATTAAAGCCTAAAGTGTTGATAGTGATCTTTCTGGTAGATTATGCTTCCTAAATTGAATATTAAAGGTTTCTAAAAGTTGTGTAATCAACCAGTTCAGTTAGCATTCGTGGGAACCAATCCTATTAGGAGCTGCAAATAAAGCAAGACATGGTCCTATTGGAAGTGATAGCAGATATGTGATACAGTGGACAAGTTTCATACAGTGAGATGAATACCCTAATACACTTGCCTTTTGAACATAGTGGGAGGAAAAACTGCCAGGATAGGACAATTTCAAGATGTGTGACTTTATTTTGACATCATTCTAGAGTACCTCTGGTGGCTTTGCTTTCAGCAAAAGCATTAGCTTAATTTCCTGTGATCATAGTAGGTACTAAGCACAACTGTTAGATGAGCTTAGTGATTCCAGTGTTGTTTCTTGCCTACTAGATAAAATGATCCTAATAGTCTAACTATATGTTTAGAGTGATTTGGAAAGTAGTTGAATAAGTTGGCTTACATATAGATTCTCAAATGCCAATTATTACGTGGCCTTAGTGTTAACAACAGTATATGATGTTCACTTTTGTGGGGCTTAAAAAACACCAGCCCAGAATTTACTGGCTGGGTTCTATATTTGAACTTCAACTTTCTGTGCCTATAGTAAACAAATTATTGCCTAGATTTTAGCAGCATAAAGCAGCCCACTTTATTTAGTAAGATTTGTAATTTTCAGAGCTGAATTATTACTACTTCATATTATATCTATGTGTTGTACTTTACACAGTGAGACCTGTTTTACAGAACAGAATTTTATCAACCTGTGAGGAACTGGTTAGGCAATTGCATTGCCAGTTTAGTTGAAGGTAGGACTATCAATAATACGGCAAAATGCAGGGATCCTTCTGTGAGGTAAGAGTATGTGATTGAAGATGGTATGTTTGTACCAGCTAAGATCCATTTGTGTATGGTGTACCTAGATACTTAGCTGGAGATGCATCTCCTTTTTCTTCCAAAAAGCAAACAAAAACAGTCTTAGACTAATGAAACCAATACAGAAACTAGAATTTAGCTTAAAGCATCTTTCTTGCCACTTCTTTTTCCATCCATACTGTTGCTTTCTTTTATCCTTTTGTGATTCATAGCTCATGAAGTTCTACTAGCCCATCTCTGACATGTGTATACTACCACTCTACGTCTTGTTCACACGCTCAGCTTTCCCTGGTGTCTTCAGGAAGATCACTGCTCTCCTACCTTTCTTGCTAGCTACTCTTTCTAGTATACTACACCTTTATTGATCTATTGGCCACCAGAAAAGGCCTTAACTATGCATCAAAATAGTCTTATAAATGCAAATGACTGTCATGAGGTTTTAAATTACCTACTATAATCTGTCAAATTAACAAATCAAGCCATAGCTAAATTTCAGTATTTTGTAGAAACAACTGAAAGTTACTGCAAACTTTCAAATAAATTTTCTTTTATATTGCTTTATTTAAAATTACAAGTTATATTTTTAAATGTGTGGAAATACTTTCATATCTAATTAATTTGCACTAAAACAATAAAAACACAGCATATTTAAAACAGTAGTAATCTAAGAGCCTCCTAATGAGCGTTTAGCTTTAAACTTTGTATTGACTCTGTTAAGACATCGTGGCCTGTTAGTAAATACTAATAACCTAGAAGAGAATAGTACCTGCGACAAATGCAGTAATCTTGCAGTATATTTGGAAAGTGAGCTGTTTATGTCAACAGTGAAGTTAGGGTGGACTTCTTGGAGAAAATCAGATTTGAAATAAAAGTATAGAATGAGAAGCAATCATGAGAAAGATCTGGAGTATTCTGGGAAGCAGAGAAGTTTGCGCTATATGTAGAGAGAGAGATCCTTATGTATTAAAAGTGCTTAATAGGGGCTGGGGATTTAGCTCAGCGGCATAAACGCCTTCCTTGCAAGCAGGCAGTCGTGAGTTTGATCCCTGGTACCAATAAAAACAAAAAAGACAAAAAAAAAAAAAAAAAAAGAGTGCTTAATAGAGAAGAATTTGTGACTTGGGTAGAATTGGGGAAATAGAAACAAGACCACAAAGGATTTCAGTGGCAGATCTAAAAACTTTGGATTTTCAAGTGCAGTAGTGTATGTTTCAGATTCATTAAGTGGCATAGTGACATCGTGGAATTTACACTGCAAGAAATATTTGGGCTGCTGAATGGAAGGTAGTTGAATGAGCAAGTGGAAGCAATAGGAAGCTTACCTGGAGGTCACGGCAGTGATGCACCAAATGGTAGTGTTAATTCGGACTAAAGTGATGGCAGTGAGATGGGAATTGGGCAGGTGAAGTTAAGACATCTTTGAGACTTTTAAGTAGCCAGGAGTTACTCGTCAGTGTAGTGGGGTACTAAGAGAGGTGATACGTTTCTGAAGAAGACTACTGCTTCTAGCAAACAACCAGATAATGGCACCGCTTATTACAATAAAAGCTGGAGGACAGTAAACAGTTCTGGATGCGGGAAGCAAGAGGACAGTTTGAGCAAGTACAGTTCAAGATGCTTCTGGAATACACTAGAAGGTCAGTTATAGAAGCTTGGAGCTGCCGGAGGAGGTCAGTGCTAAGAGTGTACATTGGAGAGTTGTCAGAGTATACATTTAGGAAGGATTTTCTTTGGTTTGGTATGCTATGGAGGTATTAGATTATGTTATTTAATAATGGATACAACTCAATAGAATGGAGGAATGATGATGGCATAAGCATATAGCAAAGAATCAAAAACTAGAATAAAATCTTTGATAAAATAAAAAGAGATGGGAATCAATGTATATTAAAGATTGGCCTTCAGCTGGCTGGAAATTTTATCCTTGCAACAACAGGGAAAAGATCTGCAGACACAGGTAGATGTATAGAATTAAGCATGAAAACACGAGGAAGCACTTCTCAGACAGCTTCCAGGGGCGTCAGCTAAACAAGTAGAAAGTTAAGGTGAGAAATTTGAAAAATGAGGATCAGTGAAGTAGTCGTAGTGGACCTGAGTGAATCTGCTGTTGGCACATGATAGTAAGCATCCTGTGTGACGGGCCGTGAGTTTATGATGTTGGTAAAATACCCACTTGCTCAAGTTTTTTCCTGGTTTTGACTACTTGTTAGTAGTTCAGGTAGTAGTAGAAGGCAGATGATTGTATTTACCTGTGACTTATATTTCTCTAATCTTTTCAATTGTTTTTGATCTCCTGATGTATTTTATCAATTTCTAAGAATATCTCTGTTCTCCAGTCAATAAAATTTGAAAGTAATGAGTTTCAAAGCATGGTTTGTTTAACAATATAACTTTTTTTTTTTTTTTTTTTTTGGTACTGGGGATCGAACTCACAACCTCGCGCTTGCCAGGCAGACACTTAACACCACTGAGCTAAATCCCCAACCTCAACAATTTAACTTCTATGTAACATAGATGTGTTTATCAAAAGCTAGAGTCTGTGACAATCTGTTTGTATGTTGCATGGTATATTTCTTGGTGTCCTCTGTATGAACAGTATCCATATTGGAACCTGAGTAGTTCTGTATTTAGAGGAAAATGAGACATAAGAAAAGAATAACATTCAAATCTAATTCTCAAGTAAGCAGTTATTGCGATTCTAAAAAGAATTCATTTTTTTCTAAGATTTTTTATTAACGTAAAATTTATGGCCATGGAATCAATTTATAGTTGTTACTCAGAAGGTAAAGTGCATGTCTTCAAATGAATTAATAAGCAATTCGTTATCACTTGGAAGGTTTTAGTTATTTTATGTCACTTAGCAGGCAGGCTATCAAAGAGAAGTCACAGAAAGTAGCAGGGGAAGCGTCAGTGTTTATGGATTGTAAGATATCTTTCTATATTTCTTTCCCATGGTGAACAGACATGGTGTTTTGTTTTGAATTTGTGCATTCACAAGATTAATGTCCAAATGGGCATTTTTGGTGAATCTCCAAGCATTTTTAGGCAAGTAGAACAGGTTACTAATTTTGAATGCTTCAAGAACTAAAGAAAAGGTAACAATTGGTATTTTATTCCATTTGATGAAAATTAATGCATTAAATGTTTTTTGTTTTTGTTTTTAGACAGGGTTTCACTAGGCAGTCCTACTGGCCTTGAACTCACCTTATAGCCTAGGCTGAGCTCAGACTCACAATAATCCTCCTGCCTCAGCCTCCTTAATGCCACCACGCCCAGAAGCATTGTGTTTTAGAGGAAAAATCTGTTTTAGTACATGATGATCTGCCATCGAAAAATTTGGTTTGTTTCAGAATTTAAATGTAACTAACTAGCTGTATTTCAAACACTATAAAAATGTGAGAAAAGCATATCTAGTTCTAATAAAATTTTGAACTTAACAATTCCAAATGCTACAGTCTTACTCATATGCATAGCAAGAATTCATTGTTTCTCTTTCAAATATATTTATTTAAAAAACCAGGATATACTAGCTTTTTATACTCAAGTAATATATGTTTAAGATACTCCTGTAGAAGTTAAAGGAGGACGTTGTACATTCCCTTGTTACCCCCAGTCATCCCATGGACAATCAGTATCGTACCATATGAGATAGTATCAGCAACCTTTGTCAGCGTTTTAAAGTCAGTTAATAAAATGCTGCTCAAAAAGCAAGTTCAGCACCCTGCTTATTTCTTAGATTACAGACCTTGGGCTGGGCGTATAGGTCAGTGTGCTTGCATGTGCTGTGTCGTTCCTTCAGTCTCTAGCACCACAAAAATGAGAGAAGAATGGAGGCGAGGGAATTGGACCCTGAAAAATTATGCAAGCACAGCATGCCTTTTCTGCTTCTGTCACCATCACCATCATCTGTTTCATCTCTCCTCTTCCACTTATAGAATTTAGGGAATTACCACCACTGTCATTGTCAATAATGGGTTACATTCCAATTTATTTTCTAAAACTTCTGTGCATACATGACAGATTCTTATCATTCCAGGAAGAAGCCCTACTTCTGATGTGCTAGACATATACAAGGCTCCATTCTCTCATCAGACCTTTCTTAACAAAGGGCTTAGTAAGTCTATGGGATTTCTGTCCATCAGAGACACTAAAGATGAGGAAGATTATTTCAAGGACATTTCATCAGATAATAATTCTGGACCCGAGGATTCTGAAAATACCTACTCCCCAGACCAGTTCACAACCAGTGGCCCTCAAAAAAAGGTGGTCCCTGGCATTGATGTGCTTCCCAAAAAGAAGGTTTGGGCTTCCTCTATGGACTTGCTGTCTTCACCTGACAGAGACTCGTCTCCTGGAGAGATGGACAGGTTCCGGCACTGCCGCCCGGATGGCCTCCCAGGGCGGACTTCACCTCCTCCTAGGAGGAGAGAGGCCAGGTACTCCGACGGAGGCATAGCTCTGGATGTCTTTGACCCTCAGAGAGTGAACCCAGCATGTTACACACAAGAACTGCCCACCGCCTCGGCAATATCGAGTGCTCTGGACAGAATTCGAGAGAGACAGAAGAAACTTCAGGTTCTCAGAGAAGCCATGAATGTAGAAGGTTAGTAATTTCGTGTGTGTCTGAGACAGAATTGAACCGAAATAGTTAAAATTGTGTCTTGAAATAAACACTTATTAAATCATCCCTCCAGTCTGATTTCCACTGCCCAGCTTCCACGTGCAGGTTGCATTGACTTCTTCCCTCCTCCAGAACTCCAGTCAGCGTCCCTGCTTCCCCGGCTTCCCCGCAGCTGTCCCTACCCACAGGCCAGGGCCTAGGCACCGTGAGTGCGCTTGGTCTTTGGGAGCATGTGTTTTCAGGGTGCAAGCTTTCCCAGGGCGGGAGGCGTGCTTCTCCGCTTGGGCCCTCTCACGGGAGGCTGCTGGCCCGGGGAATGAGTAGCTGCAACCCAGGGAGGTGGAAAGTCAGGGCAGTGGCACATTGGCTCCATGGCCACCAGCTTAAAAGAGTGTGAGGTTTCTTTCATCTGAAATGAAGTTTGGAATCTGTACTCCTAAAATCATAGTGATAAGATTAGTAGATTGAGAGCCAGCCTTGTTTTGAATTGGTTCCCCCACTAGTACCTGTGTGACCTTTACCTTCAGCAGTTGGGTAAACTCTTCAAGTCTGAGTTCGTCCATCTAGAAAACAGGCCTACAAAAATAGATTCATTTAGATTAAGTGAAGAATCTAGAGGGATAAAGCAAATTATTATATTTTATAAAGCAATTTTATACATGGTAAATTCACCTGGGAATGGTGGCACATGCCTGTGATCCCAGCATTCAGGAGGCTGAGGCAGGAGGATTCAAAGTTCAAGCCCAGCATGATCTATATATGGAATTGAAAGCAAGTCTGAATTACAGTGAGACTGCCTCAAAGTAAACATAGAAAAACAAACAGTAGATAAGTAAATGGTAAATTTTTATTACTTTATTTTTATTATTCCAGGATTGCATGCCATTTCAAAAAATACCCAATTCATGAAAAAAATTGGTATATTAAATAAATGGAATAAAATTATGTTCTAGACATAGGAATAGAACTTTTGCTTAGAATAGATACAAGAGAAAGAATTTCCACTACTTCTGTACACCTTATAAAATTATAACTGCCCCTGTCTCCTGTATAAACCCTGTGACATAGTTATTGAGAGGTAATTTTACAGAACTTTCCAGTTCAAAGAGAAGAGAGATGTAACTAAGGACCGCATTTATCTTTAAGGTCATTGTTACAGTACAGTTTATTCAACTCATATTACTTTTAAAGCTTTATTATTGTTGAAAGCTTTATTATTGTTGCTCTAATATTCAAGTATAAGCAGAGCTGATCACTCAGAATTGTGATTTACTAAAAGAAACCTGGCAAGTTTTTTTTTGCCAGTTCAGGAGTAACAGTAAAATGTTTGGAAGTGTGGAGGAAATTACTGGATACTTAATTGATACTATAAATCTGCATAGTAATATTTTTATTTTTAATCCTAGAACCTCACCCGTGGTAGGCCAGTGGGCTTCAATTGAGCTACACCCTCAGCTCCTTTATTCTTACTTTGAGACAGGAACTCATAAGTTGTTCATGCTGGCCTTAAACTTACAAACTTCCTGCCTCAGCCTCCCAAGAAGCTAAGATTGCAGACGTGTCACTGTGCTGCACTGTAACATGCATTTTCAAAAGCACTAGCAACTTTATCAAGTGGTGGTATCTATCCATCTGAAAAGATTAAAAGTCTCACAAAGGTAGAAGATGTAGAAATTAATTAACTTAATTAACTTAGGGTTGGGAATTGTGACAAGAAGAGGCAGTTCTTGTGGCTTAGAAGTCTCCTGTTTCAGAAGTTCGGTGTCAGGCTAGTAGCTGGGATGGAAATAACTCTTTTTTTTTTTTTTATTTAAGTAGAAAAAGAGAAAAAAAAAGGCAGAAAAAGGGTACAAGTTATACAGAATTTTAGGAAAAAAATAAACAGTAGGAGATCACTAGTTACTGGATTACATATTGTCATCTTAGAAATATTTGTTTAAGTTACAAAATTAAAGCATATAAAGTGGACATTCAAACAGTGAGATTGCAAACAGTTCTGTTTAGTGATCCAGCAAAACTCAGTAATATCATTGTCTATCTTATACACTTAAATATACATGCAGTTATATCGTTTAGAGCACTTTCTTTTCCTCTCTTTTGTACAATGACTATTACACATTTTGGGTTTTATTACTCCCACGGTTCTTATTACTTTTTTGGAAGAGAGTAAAACCAAATGTGACATAACAGAACAGAGTCGGTCAAATCAAAAGGGTGGACATAATAGATCATGTAAAAACATAATACAAGGTGATCAACAATGGTTACCATAATGCCTCCCGCTATCTCAAATAGAATTACCTATATTATCAGTTATAATAAAATTGAACAAAACAGTAAAGAACAAAATCAACAAAACCAAAACATGGGAGACATTACAGGTCTTCAAAAATAGATAATAGTCAACAAGAATGGGCGTCATAATGAATCCCACTATCTTCACAGGTTGCCTAAACTTTTGAACCTGGTACTATCAAGCAAAACAGAATAGAGGAACATGAGTCAAAACAAGATGGGGAGAGCAATACAGGGCTTCAAATCAAGTTAATAAAAATCAAAGTGGGTTACTATAATATATCCTGCTATTTTTTTATTTATTTTTCCCTTAATTAGAAGGATAAAAATAAAAAAGTGAATAATAAAATGGAGATTGAGATAAAAGAGGGCATAACAACAAAACAGCGCAGATCAAAACATAACCATTTAAGCAAAATAGTGTTTTACCATACCACAAGATAATCCCAACATAAAAGTAGTTACCATATTGTCTCTTTCCTTCAAATCTTTGAGTATAACTTTATATACTGTAGCATTAAATATATCAAAACAATGTAAAACCATTCAAGAGAATGACAGTATTACAGGGTATTTAGAATCAACTAACAGAAAATGAACAATGGTTTCTGTATAATCTCCTTGTCTATAAAAGTTTTTGTTTATACTATCACATATAATAAAATCCAATAAGATACAACATGTTAAGACCTATGGAGACAGAAGAACATAAAAGAAGAAGAAAGCTTGATGGGACTTCTAAGCAAGATGATATTAAATCAGCACTACCTATTATGATGTTGTTTTCTCCAAAATAGCTGTTCCTGTCATCCAATCTTCTCTGCCTCATTTATGCTGAGCTCTGTTTCTGTCATTAGTTGTCAGTTTGTCTTCTTCATTTTGTTTTCTGCTCCATTCATTGTGGCCTCTCTGCCACTATTTCTGGAATCTTGGTATTTGTCTTTTTTAGAATATCCTGCAGTATTGTCTGTAGAGTTGAATGTGGTTGCATATTCCCCTAGTTCCTCTTTATCCTGGAAGCACCTTGTTTTTCCATCAATTTCCAGGGATAGTTGTGCAGGATATATCAATCTTGGCTGGAAGTTATTATCTTTCAAAGGTTGAATTATTTCCCCCCACGCTCTTTGGGATTTGATGGTTTGTGCCGAGAAGTCTGCTGTAATTCTGATTGGTGTTCCCTTGTAAGTGATCTGTTTCTTGTCTCTGACAGCTTTTAATATTCTGTTCTTATATTGGATTTCTGGAATTTTGATTATTATATGCCTGGGTGTAGCTCTGTTTGGGTTGTAGGTGGCTGGGGTCCTGTATGCTTCATACATCTGAGTATCTTGTCCTTTTGCTAAATTAGGAAAATTCTCCTGGATTATTTCTGTGAGTAGCTTTTGTAGTTCATTTGTTTGTGTCCCTACCTCTTCTTTTATGTCCTTAATTCTTAAGTTATAGATCCTCTTATCATCTTCTAGTCTTTGTATTATTGCTGTTTGTTTCTTTTGTTATTTTTAAGAAGTTTTTAATTTCATGCTCCCATATTACAAATCTGCCCTCCAGTTCAGATAATCTGTCCTTAGTTTCTTTCAAGCTGTTATGCCAGCTTTCAATAGAGTTTTTAGTTTCCTAGTAATCTCTTTGAACCTGCTTCACGTATTCTATGTTTTCTCTATTTTCTCCATCAAACAATTCTCCCCTTTTTTTCTGTTCTTCCATTCCACTATCTGTTTTTTCTTGGGTGGTGCTTAGCATTTCTCTAACTATTCTGCTTATGTCTTGCTTCAGGTCGTTAATAACTTCATTCCTGAACTCGTCTATGAGGCTTATGTCTATTGGTGCCGTGTCTGATATTGCATGTTTCTCAGGATTGGGGGCTGAGGAGCCTTTCTTGTTGCTCCCTCTTCCCCTATTCTTTATTCCTTCTATACAAGCATATATAGGAGGCCCAGCTTCCTTCCCTGTTGGCCACAGTCTGTTTAAATTGTGCCGGCTAGGTGTTCCCGCCCACCACAGCGCACCAGGGAGTTACCAACCGCGCAGCCTCTGCCAGGACCGCCCCTCCAGGTCAACCTACCGAAGGCTTCACTGCTAGGGTGCACCTCTGGGCACTGGGACCTGGGTTATACTAGTCTACTGGGTCTCAGCCAGCAGCGTCACATAGGCTAGGCACTGCTCCCCAATCTCGCTTGAGAGGGAGATATGTGACTGAAGTCACTACAGCGCCCTGTTCTGGCTAGTCTGCCCGGTCCCAGAATGTCCTCTGTTGGAGCCTCCTAGACCATGGAAGAGTCCCAGTTTCCCTCACTCACCGCAGGTCAATGCACGGCTCCCCGCCGGTTCCACTCTCAACTCCATTCATCGATTCCCATTCTCAGAGCTTTCCTGCGTCTCTCTCCCTGCCGAGCTGATTCAGACGCTGCAGCGGTGGCAGGAAACCCAAATTGCAGCTTCCAATGGCATGGGCTCCAGCTTCCACGCTGAGGCTTTATCTGTTCCTGTTATAGCACCAGGATTGCATTCCCAGTTGGTTTCTCTCAGCCCAGTTTGTTCTTGGGTCAGCAGGGTATATCTCCTCTTGCTTAGGATTCCTCACTTGGCACCATTCCTGGATTCTAAGCTGGGTCTCTCAGAGAACCTACGTAGCTGCTGCTATCTGTCCGCCATGTTTTCCTGGAAGTCCGGAAATAACTGTTTAACCT